GGCAAGACCTCCAAAACTAATCTCAAATGCTTTTTATCATCCTATTTCTAATCACTCAAAAGTATTGTCAGTAGTCTAATGACTGATTATAGCTGAAAACACTTTCTGTTGCTATTGATAGATATGTGAGTATCTGCATAATGTTTTATTACAAATTACCGTCATATTTTCAGAAGACATAGATACAACACACAAGGTAAAAGTCTATTAAGCAATGATATATTTACTATAACGAAGAATTTAAGATCTTTTTACCTTGAAATGATTTTTCCAACGTGTTACATTTTCAAATGAGATAATGCTTACTAATGAAATTCATCTTCCGATAGATTAATTAATAAGCTTCTGGTGCAACAGTCTGCAAAATTAGTGACAACGGCATTCAATGCGATTATGCGCAGATCCAGAACTGACATTGTGTTCCCGATTTTTCTGAATCAGTATTTGCCAGTCTCTATTACTTTTGAATATATTTTCTTTAAATCAAACCTCAAATTCTTCTTTGGTTCTCTGATACTGACTGCTAACTAAATGGCAGAGCCTGCAATAGCTAGATCTCTTCGTCATTGTTCGATCACCAAATCACTACAAATTAATTCAGGTAAACAATCTTCCCGGACAACCAAACTGCTGAAAGTCTTTATGAAGCGTTTCAGTTACATCTTACACAGTTCGAGAATGTCAAGCGTGTATCTTAACTAGTTGACTCAATTGATCATCGTGAAACATATATGGGTACCTGGGTAGTCAAGCTGCTCTCTGAAAATCACACCACGGATATTGATATTTCACTTAAAATGGCTACTCTAGCCAACAAACGATAATATCAAGCGATACTTAAAGAATCCTGGGTAGTGAAACATTTATGTTAGACTTCGATATCTACTCAGATTTTAAAATGGGGAACCGTCTCATTTTCTTTAATGCTGTCCATGTACAGACTTTTTTGTTCTGTTCTGTTGATTTGGTTGGTATAGAGTATAAACACTGTTTTATCCGTGGTATCAGTACGCTCAATTATTTTTGCTAAAGTAAAGTTTGGTGTGCAAGACTGTCACTTCAACCCAATTAATCTAGGTTTGGTAAATAAATTCTGTTTATATAATGGAGTGAATAGAATTTCAGAGAATTCCAAGAGTAAACCACAAAATGCTTCCGTTTAATATGATTTCTATTAACAGACATTAAAGCTATTTACATATTTCCTTGAAGATGAGTATGATGATATGACGTCTTACGGTGTCTTTCGATAAGATATGAGATGTGTTCATTTTAAGAAATATATATAACATTGCAGTTATTTTTTGTTGTGTGTAAAATTTTTTAAAGTTTAAATTGGCAATGACCTTCAATGTATATTATTTTCATGCATGAATATAAATAAATCTATTGATAATTCACTCATCTTCATGGGGAAGCGTTCGTTTACCCCAACTCAACTGCCGAGTGAAATTAATAAATTTATTCAAATTTTAGAAAAAAGATTTTATGCTATACAAATAATTTAATAAATAAAATGATTCCTATTAGTAGCAGGTTTTTATTATTGAAAAAGTATTCGAGAAAAGACTCTTCAATTTAATTTCATTCAATTAAATACCTAGAACTTAAGCTTTCATTGGAATGGAATGAATAATTCAGTTGGCTAATAGGCGGAAGAAACTGGAATATGCCAATAAAGAACCAATTTATAGTAAGCTTGATGGAAATGGAAAAAAGAATGACGTTTTATGGTCGGACAAATTTCAATAAATTAATTAAAAATTTTTATTGCTTCTTCCGTAAGAATATACATTCCAACGAGCCTGCTCCTTATGTGCATTAGCGCAGTGCATTTCCGAATCTTCCGTATGTTTGCATCCGTATGTATACCCAGTCTCGTGAGGTGGTAATTTAATTTACAGTGCCCTGTGATTCCTGTGATAATTCAATGTTTTTCTTGTGATAGGTTCATACAATCCTGGTATCTCTTATTAGTATAGGTAAGGGATTTGGATTCTGTTAATCCTGGTATATTATCCCAGTTTTTCTTTTTATTCTAGTTCTGCTTTATTTTTATGGGAGAAAGGAGCGTACTATATCGTAGTCCACAGAAAGCTTTCAGTCCCATCATCGGTGTGGCTGCGTATTCATTTTTGCGTACTTCAGTACGTCCTGGTATCCAAAGAATCGACACCTGATTTGATTCGCCAATCAAAGCAGTCTTGAACCAGTAATGAGATCACCTGATGCGAGTTAAGTGCTTTGATTGTCTATAACGTATACAGTTTAGTATATTGATCGCTTTCGGTTGTAAGCATCACTCAATAATTGCCCATTTGCAGATTTTTGGAACTATCTATATATCTATATATATCTAATAATAGAATGAAATTTTTTTCTATTACTAATATTTCTCAGTTTGTGTAGAATAAATTTGTCTAATAATGCCGGCAGCGACTCAATTTAGATTCATTTAGCTGAGCGTCATTCTAGTTCAGTTCCCTTGCACGCGTGCCGTTTTGTATCTCCAAACCTTGTAGAATGCGACAAAAATAAATGAAAGTGAAATTCTTGTATCTCAAATCTTCACTCGAACTGCGTGCGCCACCGCCATCGTCGCCATCGCCGCAGTTGTCATAGCTCATGTGCATGCAGGCCAATCGGTTTGTGGATAAGAGAATGTTTATTTATTAATAACAATGTTGTTGTTGTTGTCGTTGTTGTTGTTATTATTATTGTTGTTAATAACAATAAATGAAACATAAATAAACGAAGTCAGCTGTTGGCGATGCTCGCCGATATTGTTTTTGTTTGAGTTTCTATGGTGGCGGGAAAGCACTCAACTTTCAGTGCTGAGTGAAAAGTTGTCGCGGGTGTGTCGTGCAAAATTTCTATCTCGATACTTTCAAAGAAAATGCCAATCTTTTCCAAATTTGCGTTGCTAAGAGGTGAAAAATATTTGTGAAATTATTTTTAAAACAATTTTGTTTATGCAAATTTTACGTTGCTTGAAGCAAAAAAAAAAAAAAAATTCAATTGTATAAAGAAAATATATATTTTTATATGAATCTTGCAGATACAATATTTTCAAAATTACGTTGTATGAAAAAAAATATTAAGTAATGATATAAATGCAATTGGATTATGAATCATATAATATTAACAGTGATTATAGTGGTATGGGATGCGGTTGTATAGTATAATTAATTCTTCATTAAAATAATTCTAAAATCATACAGAATAAGTTAATAAGCTGATTTTAATACAAAATAAAAAAAATAGCGATCCCTTGTTCTTATGAATAAATAATCCTTAAATAACTGGAAAAATATTTTTCTGTTTATAATAATGTATCTGCTCATAACTGCAAATAAATGAAATTTTTCTTTCATTAATAAACCTAAAGTACTCGTAGATAAGAAAAATGTATATTAAATATCTATAATAATCCAGTTTTTTTTTTAATTTAATTTAAATTTTATATGTATTCAGTCAAATAATGTAATGACATTTTACAATTTTTTGATAAATGAGATTTAAAACGTGGAGAGATACTTTTTTTTTTAAATTTTATTATATTATAACATCTGATGCGGAGTTCTCCTTTTCAGTCTTGTAAAAATTTTTGAGTCGGAGATTAAACTCGAAGCAAGAGTGTTGGGATGAATTTATATTATTTCATGGTATTTTCTAGCTACCTTTTTTACTTCACCTTTTACCAAAATCAGCCGAAAGTCCTTTTCCATTCAATATAAATGGATATAAAATGGATATAAGATATCTTTGCTTTTTTTATTATTACGTTGAAGTTAGTTGAGTCAGTGCATTTCAACACTTTTAATCTCTATTAACTACCAGGTTTCTTCAAAACCCTTCTCTACGGCTTGTCTTTTTAAATTTTTATTATATTCAACAAATAATTAGAAACTTTCAACCTACTTATTCAAACAATGGATCACACCTCAAAATTTCTGATACATGAGACCTTACTCACTACGTCTTCGATCTAGCTAAGAACAATGCGTTTTTTAAAGAAAGATTTTTGTGATAAAATAATTTTTTTTTTCAATATCTTTGAAGACCTTATAATCAAATTTAACTTTTAAAATATGTCGTATCAACTTGTGGTTGTAGATACTTTCGGCCAACTTATCAACCTGTGACCTGCGATTGTCAGGAAATGAATCCTGTGACTTTATATGGCTTTATCTAAGACTTTATCCAATTCAATTCAATTCAATCTAAAACCAAAAGACATTATTATGCTTATTAACAGCTTTATTAAGTTAAGTTTAACTTAGAAGACTCTTTTAAGAGATGGTGCAATAAGTCTTATAGGTAACAATGTGTTGTAACTGTCCCTTTTAACGATACTAGTAATAATCGAGATCGTTATATGATCAAGCCATTTAGTAAACTTTACTATAGTTTTTAAAATCAAGAACTGAATATATACAAATGTAGACACTGCTCTCTTTAACTGAACAGCAACAAATATCTGAAAAAATATAATAACCAATCAATTCATTGTCGAAGTCAATTTTGGATCATAAAACTTATTTCCATACTAAGTCAATGTCTTAAGGAGAAAATAATAAATATGGAATTTCAGAAAAAAAAAACTGCGTGACAGAAATATGTTTTCAACTTTACTTATAAAAGTAGCTATTATTTGTATTAACATTATAATGCCACATATATATTAATTATGTTATTATATATGCATAAGTAATTCAAGTCCGTGAGAATTATATTACCTAAATAGAATTTTGATACAAAATCAATGTAAAAATTAGAACCCTACGCTATTCTTATAGGAATATAACTTTCGTTATTTTTGGAAAACTTTATTGGTATATAATATATCCAGCAATTCAAATAGGTATTATTATATTAATAAATTATAGAGATATAATGTATTCTTTAAAATTGCTTTAAACTTTCAGCACAGTTTTGTGTACTAAATTTTAAACTCTTATTAAATTGTTTTGATTAAAGGCAGTGAACATCTTATCAGACAACAGGCGCGTGGCTATTCGAGTGCGAAGCCGGCCATTGCGCAATTCTCGGAAATATTGAATGAACAAATCAAATCAATCAAAGATGCTGGCACATTTAAAAGGGAACGCGTAATAACATCTTCGCAGAGCACCGAGATAACAGTCCAGGGCAGCGATAAAAAAATATTAAATTTCTGTGCAAATAATTACTTGGGCTTAGCCGTATGTTTCTTGCTACTTAAGAATGTTAATCTTTTATTTGTTTCATGTCTTCAATTATAGAATAATCCAGAAGTAGTCAAATACACAAAAGAAATAGTGGATCAATACGGCGCTGGATTAAGTTCAGTGCGTTTCATATGTGGAACACAAGACATTCACAAGAACTTAGAAAAAAAAATTGCCAAATTTCATGGACGCCAAGATGCTATACTCTTCCCTTCTTGTTTCGATGCCAATGCAGGTCTCTTCGAGGCAATTTTAACACCAGAAGATGGTGTGTTCTCCGATGAACTCAATCATGCTTCAATCATTGATGGTATTCGTTTATGTAAAGCCAAGAAGCAACGGTATAAGCACAGAGATATGGCAGGTATGATGAGTTTTAAAAAGTTGCCGTATAAATGAAAATTTTAGTATGAACGAAAAAAAAGTGAATATTGAATATGTTACATCGTTTTTGAAATATCACACGTCAAGAACACTATGAGACCTCAGTCCAAATACTGCTAATTCAAAAGCAGCGTATCCTTTCGATATCCGTTTCATATTCGTAAAATTCCACTTTATTAAGTAATATTTTCTAATATTCAATTATTGCAATTATTAATCTTTACAGATCTGGAAGAGCAATTAAAAACAAGCGATGCTCGTCTCAAACTTATCGTAACAGATGGTGTTTTCTCTATGGATGGAAATATTGCTCCTTTACCACAAATATGTGATCTAGCAGATAAATACAATGCTCTTGTATTCATAGATGAATGTCATGCAACAGGGTTCTTTGGACCT